GATCAAACGTTCTATACATTTTTTGGGACACCCTGTATAATGTTGCGTCTTTACGTAACTATTCTCAGATTTGAGATTTGTATGGTTAGAATTTTCGCGCGAGTAGATCTCTAGTGGCGTTTTTGATGGCGAACAAGACCTATTCAAGCCAAAAGTTTTCATTCAACTTGCGTTCTTGATTTACTTCATCCACTTCGCTGTTGGTCAAATCAGTGAACTGACAATAGCGCGATCAGATCAAGTGGACATCCGTTTTGCTATTGGTCTGTTCATTGAATTGATGAATGGGGAAAAGGCAGGTGGTGAAGCGAACAAGTATAGCGCGTGGCACCAAGGTTGCTCCGATGCTGTTACAGAATCAGTGACCTGTGATTTTAGGCCCTTTTGAGCCACAGTGGCTTTTTTCTTTCTTCGCACCGCAGATTTTTTCTACATCACATGTTCTTTCGGGCCAGTATTGTAACTCCTCACTTTATAGCTGAGTTTAGTAAAGCTTATATATTTCATTGCTAACTTTTTGCCAGAAGGTTGAGATGATTGGAATGTTCAAATTCTCTTGAATTTTTCTTTCGTGTTATTTACGCCGAATCCGTGCGATCGTGGGATAATTTAGGTTTTTTTCCTAATCTATAGCTTCATTTGCTTCAAACAACATTTTGTAACGCTTGCAGTATAGTTTCCCGTCATTTCCTTATTCTAGGCTATCAATGCTGCAAAACGAAGCGGTGTTGCTGTCGATACACAGAAAAAGATGATGGCCGGTGGAAATCGACAGCATACTGCGAACAAAAACACCCTTAGGTAGTGCATAGTGATTCTAGGCTCAGTTATTTATACATATTATTTTTACTTATAGACTTGATGAGGAGACGGAAGAATTGCATCATGAACGAGTGAGTCTGTCGTTAGGCAAAGCTATGCAGCAGGCACGTCAAGCCAAGGAATGGACTCAGAAAGACCTTTCCACTGTGAGTCATGTTTGAACATATTGTAATAACTCATTAATCAAAAAATATACCCATGGTCACGTGGATTAGTGAACTTTTGAAGTTGCGTGGGATACGTTTCCACTCTTAATTTTGATAACTGCCCGGTCTAAACATTTCGTCAACCCAACTGAGCTCATGCAGAGTACTGTATATTTTCTGTCATTGGGCGGTGTTCAAAAACCATCGATGGTTGAGTGCAGAATAACTCTAACCACTTTGTATGAAATGAATATCCAATTTATGCGTATAGTCCTGGCCTTAAAGGCAGTGTTCGCGCAAATTTGGAATTCCCCAGTT